CCCGGTATAAAATTTATTATTCCGTTAAAGGTTAGCCGATCGGTAGACAGAGTCATCCATAGGCTTCGACTTGGTACAGCCTACACGAAGTCCTTCCTGTATGGAATTGGGAAAGCTAGATGTCCTACCATCTCGTGGGGAGCACAAGAAGATGTGTAGCACATTCTTCTACATTGCAAAAATTATGGCGTATCTCAAAAGAACATTTTACAAAAACTCAACTTTTTGGATAAGTGACCTCCATAAATTGCAAAAACCTTTGGTGCATGGCCAAAATTAAAGCTATAAGTCACTGCAGCGTGTGCAGTCGTTCACTTTCCTGAGGAATCATAAATAGCTCAAAAGTACTAAACGAAAAATGCATTATCGTCACTGTTAACCGGTATGTTTCAAAACAATATTTTCGTGTTTCACTACGATATTTTGGGGAAAAGCGTTCTGAAAACAGTTCAGTACTTGAGTGATAAGATCGCCTTAGACATAGTATTGAACTTTTATGTTTTGTGTGAACACCTAAATTGGCGTGATTACTTGTGTTTTTGAAAACTTTGGGGGGTGTGAACACTCAGTATTGAAAAACACGGACTCATTGCGTAGGCGTTGTGCTATATGTATGTGTCTATAGCCTTGTCTTTGCTACAAAATATGCGATGTCGACTTTTGTGCAAGAGAAGAGGAGTAGCCGGCGTCACGCATTGGCACCAACCTCTCCTTATATACACTTAGTTTGAAAAATGTGTTTGTCGGCTCTATGCAGACGTGGAAGTGTCGAAAGAATGTCGCAAAGGAGGTCTGAAAGAGAGGCGACTTAAGGGTCCTTTCGCTGCTCGAATGACATGCTTGTGACCGAAAGGGCAATGATAGGAAAGTCGGCTTTCGACGGCGAGTCTTCACTAAATGGCACTGGTGATCAAGAGAGCGCGTCCGCGTCGGCGTATTTTCGGCCAGATCGGTAGATGACGCGAATGTCGAATTCTTGAAGGCGAAGAGCACAACGTCCAAGGAGATCGGTAAGATCGTTCAGATATGCTAACCGACAGAGGGCGTGATGATCGGTTACCACGTCGAAAGTCTGTCCGTACCAGAAAGGACGAAACTTGCTTAACGCATAAATAATGGCGAGGCACTTTTTCTCGGTGACTGAGTAGTTGGTTTCTGGTTTTGTGATGGTATGGCTACCGAAGAGTGGCGCTCTCACCCCAAATTCCGCGTCTAATATGCGACGCTCATCTTGCTATGACGCCTCTTTCTCTCATTATGGTATGGCGGTTAGCATATGCGACGGCGTATTCCAGAATCCCAGGCTCACGCTTTTCGAGTACTGCACCAATACCGATGCCACCAACATCAATGTGAACTTCGGTAGGAGAATATGGGTGGTGCAGAATTGGTGGAAGCGTAAGCAGATGATGCAGTGTGTGTTAGCGTCGTAACATGCTTAGGTCGAGTTGGAAACATTAGCAAATCCAGAGAGTAGTTTCGTCAGTGGTTCTATTATCGAAGCAAAGTTACGTAAGAGGAAGAACACGAAAAAAAAACCTTTGTTTAAGCTAGGAGTGCCAGATAGCCCTTTGCTCCGGCGGGCTGGTTGAACTCCCTAGTCTGGGACGTTATTAGTCGAAGCGCCACCCGAGCCCACTGGACCAGATTTCGCTGTTTCCCTAGCGTGGAGCTACTGACTGGGGTCCTTTCCGAGTCCTCTTTGCTGGGGTCGGGGAGGGGGGCAAATTTTTCCTTCTTTTGAACAAAACAATGAAAATAAGAGCAGAAGCCCACAAAGCTCATCAGTTCTTCGAATATTGTCGGCTTCGGAAACTCGGTGATCACACGATGTTTGTCCGGGTCCACAAATATTTCATCTTTTGACAACACATGGCCAAGTATAACGAGTTCGCGAGTTCCGATGGCATTTCTTCTGGTTAAGCGAAAGTTTGCCTTGGTAAGACACTGAAGATTCGTGCGCGATTGGGTGACGTGGGTTGGGAAGTCTAGAAAGCAAACGATGTCATCAAGGTTACACAAGCTTAAGTGTCACTTTAAGCCCCAAAAATACTGTTCATCATTCGCTCGAACATTAAAGGCCCATTGCACAGACCGAATGACATTAAATTCGAATGACTGTTAATTCGTATAACTAGTCCGTCGTTACAAACGCTGTATTAGGGCGCTCACATTCTGTCATAGGCAACTTCCGATAACCTGAACGCAAGCCTAATGACAAAAAGTATTTAGCCTTTTGTAGGCAATCGACGGTGTTATCGATTCGGGGAAGAGAGTTGTCATCCTTCTGCATAGTTTTGTTGAGACGCTGGTAGTACACGAAAACTCTATTTGAACCATCTTTTTTTTTCTTCACGAGCACTACATGCGAATACCACAGACTTTAGGAAGGCGTGACTACACTGTAATGATGCATGTCATTCACTTACGTCGCAATAATACCACGTTCCACTGCTGAGACACGGAAGAGGCTCTGTCGCAAAAGATTTTGTTTCAGGGTCGATACTATGAGCAACGGTGTTGTTTTGGCTCAGTGGCGTTTGCTGAAATTCGAATGAATATCGAAACTGATGAAAAAGCGCTATCAGCCCTGCCCATTGATCCTCAGGGGGCGCACTGTCGATGGAGCAATCGAATGCATTCGCGCAGCCGTCATCCGTAGTAAAACGAGGAGTCGCAGTACTCAACTGAAACTTCAGGCCAGTTTCGGGGGATTCAATGGGCACAATGGCGTTTTCATCGAGAGGCTAGACGTGGCCAACCACCTCGTTTCTGTGAAAAATGACAGGACATAAGCAGGGGTTGCAAACAAATAGCACGGTCGTATGCTGATAGAGTGGTAGAACAGCAAATGGCAGCGAAGTACTGCGAACGTCGGATGGCGTGAACACAATGGTCGTGCAAGAAATTTCAGTACAGTGGAGATGAACTAAGACGGCACTAAGAGGTGGGACGCTTGTGTCAGTGGTAACAACAAGGTTGTCGATACGAGGTCGTTCTGTGTCGATAGACGGGGCATCACAACATACGGAAAGCTCTACCTGAGCACGAGCGCAGTTAATGACGGCATAGTGGCGCGACGAAAAATCCCTACCGAGAATCACATCATGCGAACACGTGGCCAAGACGACAAACTCTATGTGGTACAAAACGTCTTGAATGACGACTCATGCCGTATATGCTCCAACTGGCTGAATTTGTTGCGCGCACTTGCTGTACTAAGCGAAAACACGGAAGTTGGCGTGGTGACTTTTCTTGTAAAGGGACAATGATTTCAGTTATCACAGATAGGGCAACTGCGGTATCAACAATCGAAGGAGTACGCGAACCTTCGAAGAACACCTCTATAACAATGGTTGGGGGCAAGCGAGGACTTTAACAGTGTGATGATGACGCAGTTCGTACTTTCACAGTTGGGAAAATAAGTTTTCCTTCTCTAGCGGGTTAGCTCGGTGACGCAGGGTTGAGAGCGATCTGGGACGTGTTGAGGGTTAACGACAGGAAGTGCACTATTGGTACTCGGAAGTGCGTCGGCGGTCTCGTTCTGCTAGTAGTCGTTCACGGTTAACTGGCAGTTGGTCATGTTGAGGTGGCAGTTCTTGTGCGTCGTACGGGGCCTAGTAATTGCAGTCGTGGTATCTCGGTGCAGCTGAAGACACGGAGAAACGCCGACGACAGAAGCGTGCGACATGGTTCGGATACCCGTACGCGTAGCAAATGAGATGGTTTTGAGATCTGTGCCTGGGGTTTCCGTAGCACTGCTGTGTACTGGGCGTCATTGGCACTCACGCAGATTGAGATGTCGATAAAGGTAGCAGTCGTGGTGGGCTTGCAGCAACAGCCACGTGAGTTAAGGGTGCGGTGATACGAGAGGCGGACGGCAGCGCCTCGTAGACCTGCTCCTCCTGTTTCACCTGTTGGATGGCGATTGCTAGAAATTCAGTAGTGCCATCCACTGTCGGTAAATACGACTGGCATGAAAGCTGTCGAGCCACTTCCTCACGAACAAACCGCTTGATTTTTGACATTAGCGTTGTTTTTTTCATTTAACCGAGGGTCAACGTCCCGTACATCTGTAGCCACTGGTCATGGTGTCAAGACCCGTCGTTCTAACAACTCCTTGAAGCTTTGACACAGAATGGCTAGTTCGGACGCAGTAATTGGGTCCTTGGCCAGCAGCATCTGGGAGGCGTCATTGTCCATGCCCTTCAAGATGTGCCGGATATTCTCTGCCTCGGCCATTGAAGATTTAAGGCGCTGACCCAAGTCGAGCACATCTTAGTGCAGCTCGTGAAGCATTCTCCCTGCATGTGCTCGCACCCTTGTAAGCGCTGTTTAGCACGGAGTTTGCTACCTGCTGAAGACAGCGACTATGGGTTGCTTAAAAGCACTCCAAGTGCCTAATTTGGACTGGTGGTTGTTCAAACAGAGGCTTACGACCTTTTTCAGGTACATGGTAACATTTGGAAGCATCGAAGGGCCATGCCACTTGTTGCTCACGCTTACCATTTTAAAGGTCGACTGGCAATCTTCTACTTCTTGTTCATTCGTGCCGTTAAAAAAGGTGAGTCGCACACGTGTAACGCAGTGGGCATAATGACCATCGGAGGCTCAGTGTGGGTCGTGTCTTCTGGCTGGGTGTTTTCATCGGTCATTTCTGGGGGCAGAAAAGTCACCGGTTGCTCAGTTCCAGATTTTTTGCTCCGCACCTCCACCACGCTGAAAAGAGATTTATTGGTACAGGTACGGCACTTGAGCAGGAAGCTTACGGACACTGAAAGTGAGCGGCGACCATCGACACCCGAATAACAGCGTGCACCACAAGAGCTTGCGCTCGCCTCTTCAGGATAAGGTTGTCGCCCACTACGGCTAATTGCTGTTCTTCCTTCTACACACATATTCAACGCGATTCATATTAACTCTAGCTTGTGGAATGAATACATTGTAATTCCTAAAAGTAAATATGACGTTGCAAGAATTAGGTAATTGTAAGCACACACCTGGAATTATATTGTGGTGGTAGTTGACATAAAACACTCCACAATCATTCTTGTCACCCAGAAGTACCAGCGTCTCGTATGGCTTTCCGAAGGCTTAACAGGGGGAAAAAGCATAATCAGTATTGTTTTGAAGTTGACCTCATGTTTGTTTAAAAGTGTTTGTTTTCAATTATAATAATGATTTCACGGTCAATCAACTATTTCAAATTCTTAGAAAACAGCAGAATCTGCTGGTACAAACTTGAAAAGATATCACTGGTTTCTTAAGGCTGTGCAAGAAAAGTCTAATTTTTAGATATTCAGATAGGTAAAGTGTACCTACAATTACAAATAAGTTCAGTATACAGTCTCAAGAAGCGAATAAAAATGTATCAACAGCAGAATTCGGAACGCTGAAGCAAAACTTTTGGTATCTATTGGTGTACGTAGTTTTATGAACTTTACAATTCCTCCTACATTCTCGTACAGAACTAAAATGAGCAAATAAATTTGGAGATGTAAGACCATATTTGAAAACAACACATTCACTTTATACCAGTATCAATATCAATGAACAGAAGCAACTTTTTTTAAAATATGCAATATCACGCTGGTCTTTTCTACCTGCTGTTACTGACAAAAAAAGAGAAAATGTTTCAAAAAGTATGGCGGCTTGAAAAATGAAACATTAGTGAAATGAGCTGAGTCTAGATAGCACCTTTCTACAAAGGTTTCTGTCATAATTATAGGCACGATTTAACATCAGTGTTGCAGCCTGCCACAAGTCGACTTTTGACACGTCGGCTACACAGCGACACTCCGCACGCACAAAAATTTCAGGTGTTTTTCATGTAAGATAAATTATATCCGCATGTGTATATTCACAAGTTACACACATATATATATATATATATATATATATATATATATATATATATATATATATATATATATATATATATATATATATATATATATACCGCATTATTTTCCTAACAAGCAAAGTTAGTTCGACATGGTACATCTTCGCAAATACTACCCGCTGACAACACGGCCACCAAAATAATTCTTATACACTACTTTGCCCACTACTTCAATATACATTAATATATGAAAACAACTTCGTGCTATTCACATGAGCTATCTTAGAGCCATTGAAAATTGCTCCGCTTGGTGTACTCTAATTTTTATTCTACAGCAAGCATAACCCAACTGGTCTTGCCTTTAGATTCTTTCCCAGAAAGCCGGGCTTCCGCTTACCTAATGAAATTTTCCAAGAAAATACACCAAGTTGATTCTGACTGGCTAATCCTGCAGGGTTATTCCGCACTGTATGAATAACACCTGTCCCAGGTCTAACACACCTAGAGTTTGTCATATTTAGCTAAAACTTAGAAGAAATGTTATAATCTGCCTGCATCTCTCGTTCGCGTGTGTAAATTTACTCGCCCTTTTTCGACAACACCTAACAATAAAACTGCAAATTACGCATCATATGAATTTTTTACTGATTGAGCATGGGGCTCAGCATTGATGTACCAGAGCAACATTCGTAATTTGGACATTGAGATGTGTATGATGAAAGGCTAGTTGTAAAATTGCACGTTTGGAGGTGCGTTAGTTGAGTAGATTCAACTCTTTGACCTAGCGAGGAATTAAATGGGTTGAATGACATCTATAATTTGAGCATCAGCCTTGCCGAGTGTTCATGCCATATCATAGATGTGCGAGGTACCAGATAGTATTCCTACGCATAAAGCCTAAACATTGTTTTGCGCATGGAATTGTGCTGCGCGTATCAAAACGAATCCAGCATTTCCAGCAATGCCTGCCTCAGTTCAGTAATGTTGCGTGGTTCTTATCGCATCTTCGCAGTTGAATTGATGTGAAGAGCATGCTGGTTGGCTTGCTCTTCACAGCGGGGCCCCATCGGTGCGGAGCATACTCGCCCGTGGGTACTCTTTCATAGAGTCCTGATCGTTTACTGAGCATAGCTACGAAAACACGTAAAGCTGCTGAACGTACCAATGACACACGAATGTAAAGACACGGCCACTTATGTAGCTGTTGATTATGTAGATTGCTTTCCTTGTACGATTACAAGTAGAACCTCTAAATGACTGACTCTGTGGAGTTCCCTGGTGAAGTCTGTCTGACGTCACTTGCCCCCTCCATATATGTGACACACACAGAATAAAATAGTGATAATGTCACAGTGATTGATGTGCGAACCGGAAACTTGAGCGTATGAGGAGCACTTATTTAGGCTATGACTACGATGGAAATAAATCCATGTCATTGTGCATAGAAGTTTTTTTTTCTGTGGAAGTTTGGCGTGCCGCTGACACTTAGACATATAATCGTAGGCTGCAACTCTGACGTCATCAGGATCATTTCGCAAATGTCTCACTGCGATGCAATTGCTCTCGTGCATTTACCTAACTTCTGGGTACGTATGACGCTGCTGTTGATAATATTGTCGTTTCAAACGTCGTCATACATTGAGCTTTCGCTTTCATGTAAATTACATTACAATAATTAACGATTTGCCACATAACATCTCTTCTTCTATTAAACTTTTCGCCGATGATTGTGTTATTTACCGCGAAATTAAAACCCCTTCTGACCACCTTGCCCTTCAGTGTGACTTAGACAATGTTTCATCTTGGTGCGATACTTGGCTAATGAACCTTAATGTTACTAAATGCAAGGTAATGAGAGTTTCACGTCGAACATGTATTATTTCTACTAACTACATACTTAATAATTCTCCCCTTACTAAAGTTAGCTCTTACAAGTACCTTGGCGTTACAATTTCTGACAACCTTTCTTGGCAGTCTCACATTGACCTTATCAAAAACAATGCTAACCGCACACTTGTTTATTTACGCCGTAACTTCTCCCTTGCCCCGACGCAACTGAAACTTCTGCTCTATAAAACATTAGTCCGACCAAAGCTAGAATATTCATCATCTGTATGGGATCCCCACGTAAACATACATATCAGTAGCATCGAAGCAATTCAAAATCGCGCTGCTCGTTTCATTTTGTCGAGCTATTCCCGTACAGCAAGCGTAACCCATATGAAGTCAACCTTAAATCTACCTAGCCTATCATTTCGCCGCAAAATCTCGCGCTTGTGCCTCTTCCACAAGTTGTACCATACCATGCACTCACTGAGTAACTCGCTTTTTTTGCCGCCATCCTACATTTCATCCCGCAGCGATCACCACTTCCAAGTTGGAATTACAAGCAGCCGTACAAACCTCCATTTTAATTCATTCCTGCCCAAAACAACCACGGACTGGAATCACCTTCCCACTTCCATCGCATCCATCACTGACCCGGCAAACTTCAAGAGTACCATAAAAGCATACCCTTTTTAAACATTCTCCATTTGTTTGTGCAGATTGTTACTTGTTTTTCCACCACTCCTCTCTGTAACGCCTTGTGCATTGCGAGAAAATAAATGAAATGAAATTGTATTCGTCTTTAGTGTACCTATAATACTGTTGTTTTTAAAGCTGTCATACATATCAAGCTTGCACTCTGACGCAAATTGTTTTTTTATTTTAGTGTTCCTTTAAAATAAGAGCACTCTTATGGTACTTGTGACGGTAGTGTACTTTCGAACCCTTTCGTGATTAAACAGTCTTTGTATATTGCACCTGCATTTGGAGACACATGTTGATGAAAAATGGGTACTTGCCTGGATGGTCGATTTGCATTTCATTGTATGTCTTGGTTGCGGAGACAAATTGAGGATGGATCTCGAAGTAAACTTCCATTGTCATGTTGTGTCTAGTAGTTAAATTACCGTGAGGTTAGTTTTACACCAATAAATTTATATTTGCCAAAGATATACTCACATAATTCCATCAGAGATGAAATATCTGGTGAAGTTGACGTTAATCAAGCTTGTGTAATCTATCACGTCAACCGTGCATTTATCCGTAGAGTTTTTGGTGGTGTTGTATATCCATATCTTCTCGGTAGTGTTGAGAAACTGTAAACGTACGCTCGCAATAAACAGCCTTCAAAACACACATATATTTTGAAGCATTTCGTCGTGGATGTTAGCTTCAGAACAACATTGAGTTTGTTTGAGTAATTCTCTCGAATATCGTCGGTTTTACCATATCGGCAACTCAATACAGACAAAACGTTAGAAAACTGTGCGGTGCGATGGCATTGCAGAATAAAAGGGTCCTGCAACACTTTTTCAAGTTGCCATGGCATATATTCACTAAAGTAGCTCATTGCCTCATGAATTCACTTTTCCAAAAAAATTTCCAAAATGACAGACAGACAGACAGACAGACAGACAGACAGACAGACAGGCAGGCAGACAGGCAGACAGGCAGGCAGGCAGGCAGGCAGGCAGGCAGGCAGGCAGACAGCCAGCCAGACAGACAGACAGACAGACAGACAGACAGACAGACAGACAGACAGACAGACAGACAGACAGACAGACAGATGGATGGATGGATGGATGGATGGATGGATGGATGGACGGACGGACAGACAGACAGACAGACAGACAGACAGACAGACAGACAGACAGATATTCTTACTGATACCTATTACGCGGACACGGCAACATTTCATGGCTTTCGGCAAGCATGTCATTCGGGTGCCAGAGGTAGACAACAGCATGGATACTAATACCATGCTTTTCGCGTTGCTTTGTAATGACAAAGCTACGCTTGAGATCATCGGTTAGTCTGTGCGCCACCCGCGTTCGCGGAGTGATGTATGCTGCGCAGTAAAAAAAATTGGCATTCCCCGTACAAGGGGAGTCGATGATATCACGAAGCACGAATGAGAAATTTTGATATGTGGCTTTCAAATCAGCACAACGTTATGAGGAGGGGGTAAATGATGCCGTAAATGACTTTCGTGTCATGCTTATCACGTTTGGATGTGTCGTTTACCTTCTTCATCTATTCTCGTCACGTGATACCAAATTTAGTATATGTTTACCTAGCGAAACGGCCGTGAGCACGCTAGGAGCGTGGTATGTTGTCATGTTCATACATGACATGCGTGTCAAGATTATGTTGTTTGCACCAGTCATATATTTCGTCATCTATTGACGTCACGTAACGCCAAATATGGTATACCATATTTACTCGCATAATCCTCGCACTTTTTTTGCCGGAAAACTGATGCAAAATTTGGGGGTTGCGAGAATTACGTGGGGAAAACTTTGTACGAAAACGTACAGAGCGAAAAAGAAAACGAAGTGGCCGCAAATCGGGATTCTCACACCAGCAACTTACAGCAAGCTTTCAGAAGTACTAATTAAAACTTACCTCAACAATAAAAGCAGAAATTCAACACAAGGACAGATTTATTTGAGACACAAAAAGTGCACGCAAATAGTCGAGAATTAGAATACTATACGCAAAGCTTGTGGGCGTTGCGGGCGTAACGGTAGCGTTCGTCGCTCAACAGGAGCCCTCAAAAGGTAAGCGTAGGACGTCAGTATTGGGCTGATGGCTATTTAACAGAATAGTCCGCAGTTTCCTTCTAAAGAAATAAAGTGGACCATCAATCCCAGTTTTAGGACCACGGCAGGCCCAACGCGTCCAGGTGGCTTTCAGCTGCCGTCACCAGTGGCGAACACAAAACTCGAACACTCCGAAGGGCCTACCGGTAGCCCTGTTGCCATTGTTTAGTGCATGATCTGTCACTTTCAACTTGAAAGCAGCCGTGTAGCTTCAGTATCGCCCCATAACGTGACAAGATTACCGACACAATATAGAAAACACGCCGCAACGCGCACTTGCCACTTCGTCCCGGCTTAGATTGGATTGAATGTTCGTGCTATAATAGTATGCTTGATGCTTAAAAGATAACGCCAGATGGCGCACGCTATCATCATCAGTGGTTAGAACGAGCAGACGACAATATTGCGGCGGTTTTCGGGGGTGCGATAACTACTTGAGGAAAAAACAAAATCGTATTTTTCTTTGGCGATGTGGCAGGTGCAAGAATTATGCGAGTGCGAGGATTACGCGAGTAAATGCGGTATGTGGAGCTAGCCAAACGGCCGCGAGCGTTCACGAAGGGTCAAATATACTCCAATGTGGCGTTGACGCGCTCGCACGCTCGGCACAATGATGCTACGTTAGCAAAACGTGAGCACTCTATACTCTGACGCCATGCACGACCATCGTACGTCGGTGCGGCCCGACAGCAACCGGCGCGAAATGCGACGTGCTGCAGTTCGCGCCGATGCGTTACCCAGACAACACTGCGTCTCCCTCTTTTCGTGACAGAGGGACGCCGGACGCGCTGAAACGCGCTTGCGTCAAAGCAACGCAGCGCGGCGCGTGCCTGCGATTACATGGCAGGTCCGGTGCCTGGCGTGGCAACGCCGACGTGAAGCGACGAAATGAACGCCGGCGAGCACGTACACTGTGTCACTTCGAAACGTATTGGCGCCTTGACTGTGGCATGCAGTCATGTTCTCAGATGACACGCATCTCATGATTATCATGTTTGCACCAGTCGCATACATTTGTCACCTATTGGTGTCACGTAATACCGAATTTGTCATATTGAAGGTAGCAAAACGGCCACGAGCGCATCATTAGTGTGGCATGTAGTCATGTTGTTACATGACGCGCAATTCGTGATTATCATGTTTGGATGTGTCATTTACCTATGTCGTCCGTTCACGTCACGTAATACCGAGTTTCGTACACGTGAAGCTAGCGTAACCGCGACGAGCGCATCATGAGCGTAGCATGCAGTCATGTTGTTACATGACACGCATCTCATGTTTGCACCAGTATCATACCTTCGTCATCTATTCACGTCCCGTCATACCTAATTTGGTATAAGTGAAGCTAACGAAAAGACCGCCAGTGCATCATGAGCGTGGCACGTAGTCATGTTGTTACCTGACACGCATGTCATGGTTTTAATGTTAGAGTCTGTCGCTTGTGTTCACCGTGCAATTATGTCATACCATACCAGTTTTTAAACATGCCATGTGAAAGAAATCACTGCAAGATCTGCAGGACCATGATATGTAAATCATGACATTCATGACATACGTGTCCAAATTTTCATGTTATGACTAGTCAAATATGTTCTTCACACATTCATGGTATGTTATACCAAGTTCGGTGTCGATTTTATCATTGAAACTGCCAGGGGAGCTAAAAGTCTTAGGCGGATAGATAGATAGATAGATAGATAGATAGATAGATAGATAGATAGATAGATAGATAGATAGATAGATAGATAGGCAGACAGACAGACAGACAGACAGACAGATAGATAGATAGATAGATAGATAGATAGATAGATAGATAGATAGATAGATAGATAGATAGATAGATAGATAGATAGATAGATAGATAGATAGATAGATAGATAGATAGATAGATAGATAGATAGATACGCTCGAAGTCACTGAAGTTCGCTAAGAAATGCTTCGCATTTAACAGGGTATACTGCGCTTGTCCTTGGCTGATTCTCGTCCCTGTTTTCTACTGCACACTATACACCAATCATACACCACCAACTGGCCCGAAGGTACTTCATGGGGTCATACCCCGCTTGCTATATGACACTTCTGCAGATAGTAATAACCATACGCAAGGAAGGTACGAACATGACGATGCGGCGGCAACTAAGAACCACACACACGAGAGAGACACGAGCAGGACGACACCGGTGGCATCTGGTTGATGTGGTTTTTACTATCAGCCGAACTTCACATAGCAAGAATTTTTTTCTAGTCCAAGAAAAAATTCTTCCCAAGTAGGGCACCTCGCTTCAACTTTTTTTATGAAGCTGATCAATATACAAAAAATAAGACAATTTCAAGACTTGTGCACACGAATTTGTTTTGTGGGAGACACACTTGTATGTCTTATCAAGACGCTTTATGCTGAACATTCTCGATAGATTTGAGGGAGAGAAACTTAGGTAATCAGTGGATGATTTTAAGTACTCTGACAACGAGCAGTCATAAGCATGCAAGTGCTCATTCTACCACTTGTCTCTAACTTTCAAAATATATGAACAAAGCAATGCAGAAGCATATCTGAAAAAGCGCTTGGTAGGTGATCTATACGCCGCTTTAGCGCAATAAGTCACGAAGTATTCTGCTAAAATGAAATTGCCTAATAAAACGTGAGAACTAAATATAAAAATCACTCATTGTGAGATGGAAGCCTCGGGACTTTCGCGGCAGGTCAAGCAGAAACACTGTGCAAATATAGCTGATGGTATTTATTATAGCAAGTGTTAACAAACCGGGATAACTTATGCTATTTTTACGCAAGCATTTAGCGCAAAAAAAAAACATTTTCACGAGGGTCTACGCACAGATAGGTCCTAATTTAATAACAAAATAAGGGTGTTGACATCCCAAAACTAAGATATGACCATTAGTAACGCCGTTGCGAAGGACTCCAGAAATTTGGGCCATATGGTCTTTCTTAACGGGCCCTGACATCGTACAGCCCACGGACCTCAATCATTTCACCTCCATCGAGCCGCAATCGCCATGGCCGGGAGCGAACCCTTCAACTTCGAGTTATCCGCTCAGCACCATAACCGTTACATGACTATGGTTCGTGCCTGGCAGTGTCCGCATCGTCCATCGTTCAAAAATATTTTAGCTGAAAGCTCAACACTTTCAAAATGTGAACTAACTCGAACATAGAGGTCAGGTTATACACTTTAGTGAACGGTATACTATGGCGAAATACGAAGCGCATGCACCGTAAACAATAGCTCTACCTGGACGATGTCGGGGAAGACTTGATTTG